GAGGGAGGGAGGGAGGGAGGGAGGGAGGGAGGGAGGGAGGGGAGGGAGGGAGGGAGGGAGGGAGGGAGGAGGGAGGGAGGGAGGGGGAGGGAGGGAGGGAGGGAGGGGAGGAGGAGGGAGGGAGGGAGGGAGGAGAGGGAGGGAGGGGAGGGAGGGAGGGAGGGAGGGAGGGAGGGAGGGAGGGAGGGAGGAGGGAGGGGAGGGAGGGAGGGAGGGAGGGAGGGAGAAGGGAGGGAGGGAGGGAAGGGAGGGAGGGGGGAGGGAGGGAGGGAGGGAGGAGGAGGGAGGAGGGAGGAGGGAGGGAGGGAGGGAGGAGGGAAGGGAGGGAGGGAGGGAGGGAGGGAGGGAGGGAGGGGAGGGAGGGAGGGAGGGGGGGAGGGAGGGAGGGAGGAGGGGGGGGGAGGGAGGGAGGGAGGGAGGGAGGAGGAGGGAGGAGGAGAGGGAGGGGGGGAGGGAGGGAGGGAGGGAGGGGGGGGGGGGGGGGGGAGGGAGGGAGGGGGGGAGGGAGGGGGGGGGGGGGGGGGGGGGGGGGGGAGGGAGGGGGGGGGGGGGGGGGGGGGGGGGGGGGGGGGGAGGGAGGGAAGGGAGGAGGGAGGGAGGAGGAGGGAGGGAGGGGGGGGGGGGGGGGGGGGGAGGGAGGGAGGAGGGAGGGAGGGAAGGGAGGGAGGAGGGAGGGAGGAGGGAGGGAGGAGGGAGGAGGAGGGGAGGGAGGGGAGGAGGGAGGAGAGAGAGAGAGAGAGAGAGAGAGACCATGAGTCTCCCTCCAGCTATTTAAGCCCCTCTCTCCAGCTCATTCTCTTAGTTTAAATTTTCTGTTTTTTAGATTCTCCTTCCCTTGGTGGCGGCTCGCGCTGGCGGCCTTCTGCCGCGCGTTAGGGGACGGCAAGGCAACAGCAACACCAAGTTTGCAACTTCAACAATACAAACTACACAATCCCCCTAGCTGGCTATTGTGGTGCCTACGTGACCACAAACGCGTTTAGCGTTTTAAACGAAGCGTTTAAATGTTAGCGTTTAAACGGTAAACGCGCCTTCTTGGGTTTCTAAAAGCTAGGGTAAAGGCACGTTCGGGCAGCCGTAAAATTTCCCCCGGGCAGGGGAAAAAAACCTGGGATCGGTGGGGGGAGGCAAGGGGATTATTATGGTATACAATTTATTTACTCCAATATCGTGATTAGACTCTGGCTCAGACGTTGTTGGTATCGTAAATATTAGATGTTGCAGACGTTGTAGGATTAGTGTCTGCAGCATTAGGGGGGGTCAACATGGGCGTGGGCCCTTAACTGAGTGGAAATTAGGTGGCCAGGGTGGGAGGTGAGAGAATCGGACTGGATCTGAGCTACGGCTATGGCGCGCGGATCTCTAGGGTTCCCGTTTTTGACGGGAAAGAGATTGTGACGGAAGGAGGGAGAAAGTGGTTAGATTGGAGTGAAAGTCGTTGATGAACAGGGTGCTGTGCGGTTGAGCGGGGCAAAAGGATTGGATGTATTTTTTTCGTTAGGCTGGGATTTGCGATTTGGCAAATGTCTGGTTGGACTCGCCAAGTCGCAATGTCGCGGAAAAAAATTGATCGAATTTTTGGCCGGGCTGCCCCTAAAATTTTGCCCGAGCGTTTAGCGTTTACGCGAGCGTTTTGCGTTTAGCATTTAAGCGCAGCGTTTAAACGCTAAACGCTGCCCCGCCAGAGCGTTTGCGGTCACGTAGTGTGGTGCTCAACAACCACACTTCTAACGAGGCATGGAAAGCCTCGCCGAGCTTACCAGAGCGCTCACGCTAGCGCGCACTTCACCAACGCGGACCTACACACGACGGGAGCCCGTCACGCGACTTGGTCCGCTCCAGCTTCCTTCAGCAAGGCCGCCACATAGCCCACCAGGAGCATCAGCGCTGATACGGCGCCGCCAACGATGTCTACAGCTGCAGCCGAGTCTATGCTCGCCGATACTGCCCGCATCACGGCGAGCAGGCGCGGGTCCAACACGGTTCCCGGGGTGGGTGCAGGTTGCACTCGCGGTGACACGACTGCCAGATCAGCTGCAGCCATCGCGCAGCGGTGGAGAGGATCGTGGGGCATCTTGCACGGGCTCGCTGAGCTCCGTAGAACGGAGTGCGAGTCCGTCAGCATCTCCACAACATACCCCATCGCCCGCTGCGCGTGCCAGAGCCGACGAAGAGTGGCGATTGGGATCGCAGTATCCGCCAGGCGCTCCCTCCCACGCAGGCGCTCCAGCTGCGCTCTCTGCAGCATCCGCAGCCCAGCAGAACGACGCCGCCCCTGGTCCCCAGGAGGAGAGTCCTCACCGGTGGACTCAGCCCCCCCCATCTCCGCTGCTTCTTCCCCCCCCTCAACTCCGGTCGACGAGGGGGGACAAAGGGCGCTGTCGCCAGATCGCCGAAGGACGCTGGCACCACCGGCGGCGGCCGGCCACTGGGCCAACCTCCCACCGATGCTTCCAGGGGCGCTGGCAGCCAGCGCGGCGGCACCTCCGCGGACCGCGCGTTCAGCGGGTACGGCTCGACTCGAGGCGCCACTTGTGGCTGGTGCGGAACGAGAAGGGCAGCAGAGGGGAAGTTTGGTGGAGGATGCGCGGACGGAGGAGGCGGTGGCAGCTGCTGGCTGTTTTGGAGCAGTGGAGGCACTGCAGTTTGGTGGCGACGTATGTGCCGACACCTGCTGCGGCGGGAAATGCGCCTGCTGCTGATGCTCGGGGTGGTACTGGTGCGATGATACATGCTGGGGGGGATACGCCATTGGCTGCTGGGGCTGGGCGACAGCCCGGAGTAGGCCTTCGAGTGTCGCGGCAGCTCGCCCTAAACGCCTCTCCGCAGCCGATCCGCGGTTACTCCCCCCGCCGGCCCTCCAGCCGAGGCGCTGGCCAGAACGCCCACGCTGCGCCTGCAGAGTCCGGTGCTGCTGCGCCGGCTGCGCCTGCGGGCGGCGCGGGGGCGTCCCACGGCGAGGAGGATGTTGCAGGTGAGGCTGCTGACGCGCCTCGCCGTGCATCGCAGGCCCACGACCGGCCTCCAGGGCGCGCTCGGGAGTTTTCTCCTCGCGCCTCTGCGGAGCGGACGGCCGACTCCGCGATCGCCCGCGCATCCGCTCGCGGGTCTGCTGGCGGGCTGACGAGGGGACAGGGAGCCCACGCTCCCAATCACGGTTCGACTTGGCTGGAGGACTCGCCTGACCTTGGGGGGGCGCACTCTCTCCAGAGCTCTCCAAATCGGCAGAGCGCTCACGAACGGGGCCGGCCCAGCTCGAACCCCGATGGCTGGTCCATCAGGAGACGACGCGCCGCGCTCAGCTCCACCCACGACCCGACACGAACAACGGAAGGCGAGCAGGGTAGCCCCGAGGGGAGAGCGAGGAGGAGGGCGCAGGGGACACGCTGGGCGGGCAACTACGGGTCGCGGACGCGGGCAATCCAGGCGAGGCGATCTGTCCTGCGACGGAGGTCCGCTGAACGGATTCCAGCAGGCCGCGACCAGGGCTTTAAGAGCCTTGGGTCTACAAGGAACTACAGGTGAAGAGGAAAGGGCCGATGGAACTTATGTACCTGGGTAGCAGAGGGAGTCTACAACTGACGCCTCTAGTGAGGAAGGAGGCGTGGAGACAGACAGACGTTCAAGAGGGGGAACTGCGGGCCCAACCCACAGATCTGGGTGACGAAGGTCCAGCAGCATGAATAATACACGGGTACCGCTGGACACCCATCCCCACACAGCTCCGCAGCTGTCCCCAGAAGAGCTGGCGAACGACGCCTCCAGATTCGCTGGGATTGTCAGTTGGGACATCGCAATACTATGCGACAGCCGCCAACCCCCGCTCTCCCGCCGGTTACCTCCCCAAATTCGTCAACTTTTCGCGCTCGCCCTGCTGACACCCCTTCTTTTCCTCGCCAAAAATCCAACCTCCACTGAAGGTTGGATCCTGTTACTCTACCTCCCGCGTCTCACCCTTCGCCTACCTTCACCTAGACGTCCCGATTGGCCCGCGGCAGAAAAACGCCTGCGACAATTCCTCACGGGCCAATGGGACGCTCTGTACCAAGCAGCTGCATCTGCGGTTACCCTGCCACCCCCACCCCGCCACGTACCTGACACCCTCCGGAAAATATCCCGAGCCGAGGGGCTGGTGCGACGTGGTAGCTTGCGACGAGCTCTGCTCGCGTTGACCTCAACCCCAGTCAGCGAGTCCACCCCTGCTGTCCTGGATGCGCTGAAGTCAAAACACCCCCCACCAGCTAGCCGAAGACCTTAACTGGCCGCAGCTGGGCGAGGACAACAGACCGCCGACAATCGACTTCGCTGATTTCGCGAAGCTCCTCTCTCGCTGCGAAAATGGGGTTGGAGCGGGGCCATCAGGAATGACTTTCGAGCATCTTCGCGATGCCTCGCTCACCAACCCCTCAGTCGCCAGGCACCTCCACGAGCTCGACCAGATCTGCCGCACGAGGTCAGCGAGCTCCTAACCTCCTCACGCCTCCTGGCACTCACCAAACCAGATGGAGGTACTCGCCCCATCGCTATCGGCGAGTGCCTGCATCGACTGGCGGCTAAATCCGCACTCAACACAACCGGCACAAGTCTATTTCCTCCCACACCAATTCGGGGCGGCAGTCAGGGGTGGAGGAGAGATAATCATCCACGCCACCAGGGGCTTCACCTCCGCGCGCCCGGGATCGCTGATCCTGCAGGTCGATCTCTCAAACGGGTTCAACAATGTTGACTGTGGGGCTATCATTTACGCCATCAATCACTCACCCCTGCGCCCCCTTCTACCGTTCATACAATTCTCGTATGGGGCACCGTCCCTGTTTTACCTCTTTGCGGCTGCCATCCACCCTGCGCTCCAGGCCACCGCGGCAGCCCACCCCGGGGTCCTCTGCCTCGCCTACGCAGACGATGTGACCTTCGTAGGCGACCCCGGTGCCTGCACCTCGGCGTTCCTAGACTTCACGGCCGCCATGGAACGCATCGGCCTCTCCGACAACCCCGCAAAATGCGTGGCATGGTCCGCCGAGCGCCCCGCGGGCCGCGCCTGACTGCCTTCCGCCAGACATACCCTTCAACGTGCTGGGCAGTTTCATAGGCACACCAGAAGGCACAGCAGGTTTCCTCCGCACCCAGCTGGCCGTGCTCGCCGAACCCCTCGCCACACTGGCCACGATGGACCCCCAGTCCTCCTCCCTCCTCCTCACACGCTGCGTGTCCAGGCGTGTCTCGTACCTAACCCGCACCACCCCCCTGGATTTCCTGCCCCTGGAGGCTTGGTCCGAGTGGGGCAGGGAGCTATTTCACACCCTACTACGCGCCTGCAACCTCTAGCCACCTCGGGGTGAGTCGGAGCGGGCGCGTATTTGGGCCCAGGCATCTCTCCCTCTCTCTCTCGGAGGGCTGGGCCTCACCGATCCAGCGATTGAAGGGCATCCGGCTTTTCTCACTAGCGTCACCCAAGCTCAGGCCTCCTAGCTGCCCTCCCAGCGGCGACCAGAGGGCCCCTGGCCGACTCGGTACGCCACCTCACACCACCCTTTACCAGCCCCACCCACCTGCATACCTGGCTGGCGAGGTGTGAATCGGCGCTGCCCCGGCGGGTCTTGGAGCTTCTACAATCCGAGCGAGGTGAACCCTCGGGCTCCCCTCTCCAACACCGCTTGTCCCTCGAGGTTCAGGCCATGCGATACGCCGACCAAGTGGCAGCATCGCGGGCAATGGACCCAAACCCATACTCCGGCCACACGCAACGCCTCTTCTCCCTGGCCGGGTACGGAGCAGGAGACTGGATCCATGCCATTCCCATCCTCCCCTCCCTCCGCCTCGAAGCCCCACACTTCGCCATTGCCCTGGCCTTCCGCTTCGGCCTTCCGTTCCCAGCCCCCCGCAACTGCAACTGCGCCGAGGAATTCGAAATCCTTGACACACGGCTGCCCAATCACCTCTTTCGGTGTGGCACTGGGCACGGGCGGACAGACACCCATGATGCCCTGCGGGATGAGAGCATCTGGATGGCCCGGGATGCTGACTTCATAGTCACTAAGGAGACAACCATCTACAGCCCTGTCGACGGCCACAAGGCCGACCTCGCAATTCGCGACCGCAGCTCCGGCGCCGTCTGGATCTGCGACGTCACCGTCACAGACCCCATCAGCAGCCGGGACCCGGATGCACGGACAGGACGAGGATACATGGCCCGAGAGCAAGCTGACAAGAAGATCTACCACTACCGCAACCGGGCTCCCTATGTTGGTTTCTTCCCACTGGCGGTCGAGACATACGGCTGCCCCTGCGCCGAAGTCCCTACCTTCCTGAAGTTGCTGGCGGACACAGGGGCCAGGAGGCTCTTCAATGCGGACCCCAGCTCCTACCAAGCAGCAAAACTGCTCCATCAGTTCCGCCAGCGCTGGTCCGTGACGCTCCAGCGGGCGCAGGCCTTGGCTTACCTGGGCAAAGTTAACGAAGCCTCCCCTGCCCCCCACACCCCCGTGGATACCCCCGACGCCGACATGGCTCTAGGGGACTGCTTTGCCGTGGCAGAGCCCCTAGGGGAGCTCGAGTAGGCTTGGGCCCCTTAAACATGCACGTACCTTGTCTCGTTGCCTTCTGCCTGCCTAGCCTGTACCCAGGTTCCAAGCGATAAACGGACCGCTTGAGAGAGAGAGGAGTGTGGGGCACATGGATGCACGGATAAATGCACACCTTTTTGTGTCTTTTTTCATGTCTGTGCTGGTGCTGGTGGTGTGTGTGTGTGTGTGTGTGTGTGTGTGCGTGTGTGTGTGTGTGTGTGTGTGCACACGGGTGTGTCCATGTGCATGTATGTGTGGGAGTACGTGCGTGCGTGTGTGTGCATGTGCGCATGTGCATGTGCGTGTGTGAGCACATGCACGAGTCGCAGCTGGAGTCGCAGGAGTTGAAGCAGCAGGTGCAGCCACACGCCTCGCATCTCCTTGTGCTCTCCACCATCTCTGCCTCCTCGCCCTCCGCACCCCTGCCGCCCAAGTATGACGCACCCCTGCCGCCCAAGTATGATGCACCCCTGCCGCCCAAGTATGATGCACCCGTGCAGCCCAAGTATGATGCTCTACCATCCCCAAGTGTGATGCTCTACCATCCCCAAGTATGATGCTCTACCATCCCCAAGTATGATGCTCTACCATCCCCAAGTGTGATGCTCTACCATCCCAAGTATGATGCTCTACCATCCCCAAGTATGATGCTCTACCATCTCCAAGTATGATGCTCTACCCATCCCCAAGTGTGATGCTCTACCATCCCCAAGTATGATGCTCTACCATCCCCAATGTGTGATGCTCTACCCATACCCCCAAGTTTGATGCTCTAATCATGTATGATGCTCTACCATCCCCAAGTATGATGCTCTACCATCCCCAAGATGATGCTCTACCTCCCCAGTGATGCTCTACCATCCCCAAGTGTGATGCTCTACCATCCCCAAGTATGATGCTCTACCATCCCCAAGTGTGATGCTCTACCATCCCCAAGTATGATGCTCTACCATCCCCAAGTATGATGCTCTACCATCCCCAAGTATGATGCTCTACCATCCCCAAGTGTGATGCTCTACCATCCCCAAGTATGATGCTCTACCATCCCCAAGTATGATGCTCTACCATCCCCAAGTATGATGCTCTACCATCCCCAAGTGTGATGCTCTACCATCCCAAGTGTGATGCTCTACCATCCCCAAGTATGATGCTCTACCATCCCCAAGTATGATGCTCTACCATCCCAAGTATGATGCTTCTACCATCCCCAAGTGTGATGCTCTACCATCCCCAAGTATGATGCTCTACCATCCCCAAGTATGATGCTCTACCATCCCCAAGTATGATGCTCTACCATCCCCAAGTGTGATGCTCTACCATCCAAGTATGATGCTCTACCATCCCCAAGTATGATGCTCTACCATCCCCAAGTGTGATGCTCTACCATCCCCAAGTATGATGCTCTACCATCCCCAAGTATGATGCTCTACCATCCCCAAGTATGATGCTCTACCATCCCAAGTATGATGCTCTACCATCCCCAAGTGATGCTCTACCATCCCCAAGTGTGATGCCTCTACCATCCCCAAGTATGATGCTCTACCATCCCAAGTATGATGCTCTACCATCCCAAGTATGATGCTCTACCATCCCCAAGTATGATGCTCTACCATCCCCAAGTATGATGCTCTACCATCCCCAAGTATGATGCTCTACCATCCCCAAGTGTGATGCTCTACCATCCCCAAGTATGATGCTCTACCATCCCCAAGTATGATGCTCTACCATCCCAAGTATGATGCTCTACCATCCCCAAGTATGATGCTCTACCATCCCCAAGTATGATGCTCTACCATCCCCAAGTTGATGCTCTACCATCCCCAAGTATGATGCTCTACCATCCCCAAGTATGATGCTCTACCATCCCCAAGTATGATGCTCTACCATCCCAAGTATGATGCTCTACCATCCCCAAGTATGATGCTCTACCATCCCCAAGTTGATGCTCTACCATCCCCAAGTGTGATGCTCTACCATCCCCAAGTATGATGCTCTACCATCCCCAAGTATGATGCTCTACCATCCCAAGTATGATGCTCTACCATCCCCAAGTGTATGATGCTCTACCATCCCCAAGTATGATGCTCTACCATCCCCAAGTATGATGCTCTACCATCCCCAAGTATGATGCTCTACCATCCCCAAGTATGATGCTCTACCATCCCCAAGTGTGATGCTCTACCATCCCCAAGTATGATGCTCTACCATCCCCAAGTATGATGCTCTACCATCCCAAGTGTGATGCTCTACCATCCCAAGTATGATGCTCTACCATCCCCAAGTATGATGCTCTACCATCCCCAAGTATGATGCTCTACCATCCCAAGTATGATGCTCTACCATCCCCAAGTATGATGCTCTACCATCCCCAAGTATGATGCTCTACCATCCCCAAGTATGATGCTCTACCATCCCCAAGTATGATGCTCTACCATCCCCAAGTATGATGCTCTACCATCCCAAGTATGATGCTCTACCATCCCCAAGTGTGATGCTCTACCATCCCCAAGTATGATGCTCTACCATCCCCAAGTGTGATGCTCTACCATCCCCAAGTATGATGCTCTACCATCCCCAAGTATGATGCTCTACCATCCCCAAGTATGATGCTCTACCATCCCCAAGTGTGATGCTCTACCATCCCCAAGTATGATGCTCTACCATCCCCAAGTGTGATGCTCTACCATCCCCAAGTGTATGATGCTCTACCATCCCCAAGTATGATGCTCTACCATCCCCAAGTATGATGCTCTACCATCCCCAAGTATGATGCTCTACCATCCCCAAGTATGATGCTCTACCATCCCCAAGTATGATGCTCTACCATCCCCAAGTATGATGCTCTACCATCCCCAAGTATGATGCTCTACCATCCCCAAGTATGATGCTCTACCATCCCCAAGTATGATGCTCTACCATCCCCAAGTGTGATGCTCTACCATCCCAAGTATGATGCTCTACCATCCCCAAGTATGATGCTCTACCATCCCCAAGTATGATGCTCTACCATCCCCAAGTGTGATGCTCTACCATCCCAAGTATGATGCTCTACCATCCCCAAGTATGATGCTCTACCATCCCCAAGTGTGATGCTCTACCATCCCCAAGTATGATGCTCTACCATCCCCAAGTATGATGCTCTACCATCCCCAAGTATGATGCTCTACCATCCCAAGTATGATGCTCTACCATCCCCAAGTATGATGCTCTACCATCCCCAAGTGTGATGCACTCTACCATCCCCAAGTATGATGCTCTACCATCCCCAAGTGTGATGCTCTACCATCCCCAAGTATGATGCTCTACCATCCCCAAGTATGATGCTCTACCATCCCCAAGTATGATGCTCTACCATCCCCAAGTATGATGCTCTACCATCCCCAAGTGTGATGCTCTACCATCCCCAAGTATGATGCTCTACCATCCCCAAGTATGATGCTCTACCATCCCAAGTATGATGCTCTACCATCCCCAAGTATGATGCTCTACCATCTCCAAGTATGATGCTCTACCATCCCCAAGTGTGATGCTCTACCATCCCCAAGTGTGATGCTCTACATCCCCAAGTATGATGCTCTACCATCCCCAAGTATGATGCTCTACCATCCCCAAGTATGATGCTCTACCATCCCCAAGTATGATGCTCACCATCCCCAAGTGTGATGCTCTACCATCCCCAAGTGTGATGCTCTACCATCCCCAAGTATGATGCTCTACCATCCCCAAGTATGATGCTCTACCATCCCAAGTATGATGCTCTACCATCCCCAAGTGATGCTCTACCATCCCCAAGTGTGATGCTCTACCATCCCCAAGTATGATGCTCTACCATCCCCAAGTATGATGCTCTACCATCCCCAAGTATGATGCTCTACCATCCCCAAGTGTGATGCTCTACCATCCCCAAGTGTGATGCTCTACCATCCCCAAGTATGATGCTCTACCATCCCCAAGTGTGATGCTCTACCATCCCCAAGTATGATGCTCTACCATCCCCAAGTATGATGCTCTACCATCCCCAAGTATGATGCTCTACCATCCAAGTATGATGCTCTACCATCCCCAAGTATGATGCTCTACCATCCCCAAGTGTGATGCTCTACCATCCCCAAGTATGATGCTCTACCATCCCCAAGTGTGATGCTCTACCATCCCCAAGTATGATGCTCTACCATCCCCAAGTATGATGCTCTACCATCCCCAAGTATGATGCTCTACCATCCCCAAGTATGATGCTCTACCATCCCCAAGTGTGATGCTCTACCATCCCCAAGTATGATGCTCTACCATCCCCAAGTATGATGCTCTACCATCCCAAGTATGATGCTCTACCATCCCCAAGTATGATGCTCTACCATCTCCAAGTATGATGCTCTACCATCCCCAAGTGTGATGCTCTACCATCCCCAAGTGTGATGCTCTACTATCCCCAAGTATGATGCTCTACCATCCCCAAGTATGATGCTCTACCATCCCCAAGTATGATGCTCTACCATCCCCAAGTATGATGCTCTACCATCCCCAAGTATGATGCTCTACCATCTCCAAGTATGATGCTCTACCATCCCCAAGTGTGATGCTCTACCATCCCCAAGTGTGATGCTCTACCATCCCCAAGTATGATGCTCTACCATCCCCAAGTATGATGCTCTACCATCCCCAAGTATGATGCTCCACCATCCCCAAGTGTGATGCTCTACCATCCCCAAGTATGATGCTCTACGATCCCCAAGTGTGATGCTCTACCATCTCCAAGTATGATGCTCTACCATCCACAAGTATGATGCTCTACCATCCCAGTATTATGCTCTACCATCCCCAAGTGTGATGCTCTACCATCCCCAAGTGTGATGCTCTACCATCCCCAAGTATGATGCTCTACCATCTCCAAGTATGATGCTCTACCATCCCCAAGTATGATGCTCTACCATCCCCAAGTGTGATGCACTACCATCCCCAAGTATGATGCTCTACCATCCCCAAGTGTGATGCTCTACCATCCCCAAGTATGATGCTCTACCATCCCCAAGTGTGATGCTCTACCATCCCCAAGTGTGATGCTCTACCATCCCCAAGTATGATGCTCTACCATCTCCAAGTATGATGCTCTACCATCCCCAAGTATGATGCTCTACCATCCCCAAGTGTGATGCTCTACCATCCCCAAGTGTGATGCTCTACCATCCCCAAGTATGATGCTCTACCATCCCCAAGTATGATGCTCTACCATCCCCAAGTATGATGCTCCACCATCCCCAAGTGTGATGCTCTACCATCCCCAAGTATGATGCTCTACCATCCCCAAGTGTGATGCTCTACCATCTCCAAGTATGATGCTCTACCATCCACAAGTATGATGCTCTACCATCCCCAAGTATGATGCTCTACCATCCCCAAGTGTGATGCTCTACCATCCCCAAGTGTGATGCTCTA